TTTGATTGTAAATACGAGTCATTAATTTAATATTGCGTAGTATTTGAAATCTCTGTTCCTAGTTAAATAGTTTTACTGTAATGTGACGCATTATATTTTATGACAGTATAATAGGGTCGTTTACGTTAATATAAACACGCAAAACACATTAGCTAGTAATTAATCAAGCGCTAGCTAACTTGATACTAACGTTACTTGTATCAACGTGTGTACAATTACTGTAATGAATCAATACAACGCCCTAATCGTACTAATGGAACGTTTATTGATTTCTAATGATGTTAATTTGCGATGCATTACATCCTAGAATGATTACACTTTCACTAGCAGTTCGGATTGTGTTCAAGATCTGGCTTATTTCATAAGAGCCATCATGTGGCCTGCAACTCCGTCCGCACAGAATTAAAGACAAAAAACTTAATAAGTAGCCTATGTGTTCTTTCAGACTATGTTCTACATCTGTGTAAAATATCATCAAGATTCGTCGAGCAGTTCCGAAGATATCTTCAAACAAACATCTATCGATCCATCCATCTAAACTTTCGCGCTTATAATTCCGAATATTACAAATGCTACAATTTTAATAATAATATCGGAGCAAAATAATTTAACAATAGTAATTGTTTGTTTTCTCATATGATTAAACAGTAAAGGTTAGTCATACCGAAACATAGTTCACAATTAATATGGTCGTAAAATATTTTATGTGAAAATTATTACTTCTTTTATTACGTACATTTTGTGTACACGCTCCAGTCAATTAACGAGCTATTAACTAAATTACACCAACATTACACATGATGAAGATATCCATCTGGATACCAAACAGACGTACTTAGTTGATTTTTTATAAATTTAAGTCAATTACTTATTTTTAATATATTTTTTTATTATTTTGATGTGAGACACGATAAATAAATGAGGTTATTTTAAGAGAAAAATGTGTACTAAAATTTTTATATATGTTTATGAGTTTTAGCAGAATTAATTTTATCGTGACTGATGATCCGACCCTAAAACTCTAATGCATAACAGTATGTATGACTACATATTGTTATCTCTTTCTTTTACTTTGTCAAAATAGAGACCACGATAGACATAATGTGCAACTATTTTGCACAATAGAAAATTGCTTTTAATTCCTTATTACCAAAAAGTTTTTCCTTATCTACAATCACTCTCGAAGGTACGTATTTAAACATATTAAAATAAAGTAATCAATTCAAAAAACGACGGGATTTTGCAATATTCCTGGAGCGGCGATTTCGCGAACCTTCATTTGCCGCAGGATGATTTTCAGCTTCCCAAATTACTTTGTAGAGGGATCTTTATATTTTATCTTTAATTTTCGCTCCGTTTCTTCCTCGCGATATAAATTCTATCTGTTTAAAAAATCTCTTTTTCTGTTTATTCATTTCTTTTTTAAAGATGATTTGAAAATTATATATTAGATTTTTGGTAATTGCTGGGAAGTTATAATAAATCGTTATTAATGGAGACAAAAAAAAACAAAGGAAAACTATCTCTACATTTTTATCTCAGACTAGCTACCGCCGGCGACTCCTACCGCGCGTTTTAAAAGAAAACTAAATTAGTAGCCTATGTATTCTTCCAGACTAGGTTACTTTTCGGAGATACTTTCCAACTAATCCATCCATGTACTTAAAGGTTCGCTATTATAATATTAGTAAGATTTGTTATACAAAACATAGACAAAGAAATAAAGTAATTAATAGCTTTAAAGTAGAATAGGAATAATAATCAGTCATCAGTAATTATTTATTTTGGTAGGCATCGCAATTTTATTGACATTCGTTTTTTCATTGTACAATTTTGGCACTTCTTCCTTATTTCTTAGCATGCTTAGTGATTACATGTCGGACACAAGGCGCCAGTTCAGTCTTATGTCTGTTGCCTTTGCCAAATCACTCGGCCCTTTCGTAGCCTTTCTCTTGTTTTTGCTTATTAAATGCGTAAAATATATTACGAATGTGCCCGTTTTATGCATACGTTCCACTGATGTAATGTGCTGCTTTTTTAGTTATCACAGGACGAAATATAGTAATTTGAATATATAATAAATGTATATAAGCAGAATAGAACATAGAATAGAATA